TTTTTGGCATACCATCAGTGAATACAGACTCCATTAAGAGAAATGGGAAAAATAAGGAAGAAAAATTATTCAACTTTATTATTAAATAGAATTGAATTTTCAAGAACTATTGCTTAATCAGAATATTTTGCCTCTCAGCACATTTTCAAAGAACAGCTGGTTGAGTCAAAATATAGTGCTGAGAACTCGGAATAAGTAACCTTTTAATCATCCATCCCACAACATTTATTGGGTGATTAATATAAGTCAGTCACAATGTGAATGATAAAAGACAAGTACAGTAGTACTTAGAGAGACCGGCCAGATACACACTTACAGTGCGACGTAAGAAGAGTAGGCCCGAAGGACTCAGAGAGGTGCAAAGGGCTGGGGGCAGACTGCCCATTTATTTTCCAGTGGTGACAGAAAGATGGAGGAGAGTATCAGAGAAAGCTTAATAGTTTTCTTCAGACTTAAAGGATGAGTTGAACTTTCACCAAAAGTGAAGTGTGAGTTGGGAGTATCCGCAGTAGAGGATACAGCCTATTCAAAAATCAGCCCTTACATGCTGGGTAATTCACTTCTTTTGAATTCTGTTTTCTCATTTGTAAAATGGAAATGATTACAAAACCCTACCCGGCAAAAGGAAGTTATTATAAGGATCAAATGAGGCCTTTTTCTTAAAAAAAAGCACTTGCTGTTGCTGCTAACAGCTCTAATTTTAAAAGTGTTTTTTTAAAAAATTAATATTATCATATTTATAATATCCATATACAATAACAATGTAGTTATTACAATCTCCATTCTACAGATGAGAAAACTGAAGCTCAAAGAGGAATAAACCTTTGTGAAAGTATGAAATAAAAGAACTGGGGTATGAAACTTGTGTTCTATATACTATGTCCCTTGATTCAAAACTATAAAGTTTGCCATACCTGAATGTGTGTGTGTGTGTGTGTACGATAATCGAGAAAGAAAGGCTCTTCTTATCGTAAGGATTTTCAAAAGGATTTGTATTTAACTCACTTTCATGCCTCAAATTTAAAATTCAGGATTTTTTGTCTAAGTGATTAAGGGTTAACGCTTTTTTTTCCTGGAGAATTATCAAGTTGTCTTGTGTATTATAAATAGTAACCTAGTTAATTAAATCATTACTTTAACCTAGAATGTCACTGCACCTTTTTTTGCCCTGTCACTAGACATCCAGTCTTACATCAACTGCATCGCCAGAGGACACTGAGTCTGTTGCATTTCTTCATTTTTTCAAAGGTTCCAGGATGGTCATACCAAGGCCATGGGTGTCACGGTGCTCCTCCCTAAGGAGCTCTCCTATTACAGCTTTGAGGAGTCTTCCCATTGTCTTCTGAAGGAATGCTCCTAACAGCAGTTACAGCCAGATGAATTAGACAATTTGCATAAGCCTGTATTCAGAGTGAGGACTGACAGATGAGAAAACCACACCTTAATTTACAGTCTCTTTAAAGAGGATTTCTTAACATGACATTTGTATCTCCTGGGTGATCATTAACCAGAAAATGCAAGCTTCTTGGGCAAAAATGGAAAGAAGACATTCAAATTCATTTTTTCCAAAGTGACTGTGTGACTATTGTTCTTTTTTTTTAGCCAAGGAAGTATGTTTATTTTCTCACTGGTAATAGAAATGTACTGTAGATTCCAACTTGGTCCCTCATATATAGTACGTTCAATTCACAGTAACACTGTAAATTGATACAGGAAATCAGTCAGTCAAAAAGGACATGGGTGTCCTTCTCTTTGATTGTTTTACTTAATTTACATCTTGGAAAACACAGCAATAAAGGCCTTGATCAACTGATGTCAATGGTTATTTCATAATAAAAGTCATTTCCAGGGTACTATGTTGATTAAAAACGCTGAATACAGGTTAAGTAAAAAATTCAACATCTCTTAGCAGAGTTAGAGGAAACAGTCACATCTTCTCTGTGCCTGATTTTGAGTGATACCATAAAGATACCATTTTTGCACATATACTGGTCCCCATAACAGGTTCTAAGCCCTGGGGCAGACGCCAGACTACTCTGGAACTTCTCTATTAGAATCAGTTATTTTTATTACATTCCTGATAACTCTGAGACCCTCCGGCTCCTTCCACATTTCTCCAGAATGACCTTGACATTTGCTATCTCTAAGTCCTGGTAGGTATCTCACTTCACTGAGCCTTAGGTTCTTCATTTGTCAAACTGGGCCAATCATACCTACCTCGTAGAGTTATTTTAAGAAGTAAATGAGATGAGATTGTAAAACACCTAACACGCGACATGGCTGGCACACAGGAGGCGTTTGGTAACTGTTAGTTCTGTTCCCAACTCCTGTATTTGGGCCTCAGTGCTGAGCCACACACCCCAATTACCTAAGTTGCTCTTGCTCGTATGGCAAGATGATGTGGAAGGCAGCTAGGGAACCTGGGTCAAAAATCCAGCCTGGAGAGGCCTGTCATCAAGTTTTCAGCCTATGATGTGTCACCTCTGGTTGTGACAACATGGGCAGTTTATAAACTCTCGGGGTCAACAGAAAAGATCTGAGGCCAGCCAGTGCCTCACTGTCATCCCTACTCCTCAGTTTTCAAGAAAGAGTGTTTATTCTGCTCACTTCTCTGTCATTGGGCAATGAAGTAGGGATGAATTGTCATTGAGATGTCATTCAGGAGCGTGTTCAAAAGTCCATTCAGATATCAGCGGACATGTTTGATTTTTAGATCAAAAGCCCCTAAACATTCATTGCAGAACTTGAGATAATAATTTCTCATCTTCATTTTGGAACAATCATAGGATGAAAAATGATAATTTAACTCCAAAATTGTGTGTTATTTAGAAATGTGTTATCTAGTTTGAGGTATCTCAACCTTTTTACTTAATGTTGAGTAAGCTAAAAGTGCCAGCTAAAAGTGAACTTTTTCATTGTAGTGCTGCTTTTCTGTGAGACTCTGGGCCAGAGTTTCCCAATACATAAAGTGAGAACATCGATATCAAATATTTATAAAATACAAAAGTAACTAAATGATTGTGGGAGTGTGTAGCAATTTAAATCTGCATGTGTTTGAGGCAAAATAGGAAAGTGAAGGTGTTTGTATTTTTTTTTTCCAGCCATAAATCAAGGTAAGTCCACAAAAAATAATAAAAAATGTTTGCCAAAATCTAAAATAAATGTCTCCTTCTTTTGAAGGATAGACATTTGAGAAAAGCATTTCTAGTTAATTTTTTGTTTGGGGGCGAGAAATGGCAATTTCAGAAATAACAGATGTTTTTGCCTTTTTCCCATGTGCCTTAGAATAAGACTATTGGACTTGCATACCTCAGTAGAGTATAGAGATATGATATGGAAATTCAAACAGGAACTTTCCTAGTGGCAGAGAAATATCTAAACAAACTGGGAAAACAGAAACTGACCTCGCTCATTTGGAAATGGGCTTGGTGGCTGATGAAATAGGTGAACTATAATTAAGTAATGCAATAAAGGACTTAAGCACTTTTATGACAACAAAAACACACACAACACATAGACTAGGTGGGTAGTAACCAGGTTATTCATAGGCTCTTGCTGTCTCAAATTAGAATATTCAATGAGTGGCCCAGAACAGATACCTGCATTGTTCAGAGCAACCTTACAGGTGGAAAAAAAAAAAAGTGCTAAGCCATTCTGACCTCTAGGTTGATTTCTAACTCCAGGAAGTCTGTCACCTTTGTAATTTTATTCTTTTCACAGGGACTTCAAAACAAAGATAGCAAAGACACACTGAGATTCTTCTAGCAAGTCATTCTTACCAAAGTTTGGTAGAAACCACAGATCCAGTTTCCACCTATGTTCTTGAACTTGGACGAGTAAGTTACGACTATGCATAGTATGCATTTCATAAAGTCTCCCAACTCTTGAGATAAGGCATGTCGAAATAATAATTTAACTGTCACATCCTGCACAGATAGAGTTAGGGGAATTCGCCTCATAGCAATTCCAGAAAGAATTTGAGATTGGCAACTTTTATTTCCTTATTACAACTTTCATATACAAACCCCAAGTTCCACTTGAAGTTTAGGAACTAGCAATATTTTTTTTTTCAAACCAGGGAAGTTACATGAAGATTTTTTCTTTTTTCTTTTTTTTCCGTATGCACAAGAACTAAATGATCTCAAATAAGAAGACGGGCATTAAAGTACACTCAGCCACTACAAGCTCTAGGGTGTAATCAGCAGCAAGTGAAGAGCGCCTGACCGGCCTCCCGGGGCGGGGGCTGCGGGGGAAACCGGAAGCGGCAGGCCCTGGGGTCCCGCGCGGCGAGGAGCGCCGGGACCTGCCCGCGTCCCTCCCGCTCCCGGCACGCAAACACGCAAACACGCCTTTTCATTCCGTCGTGTCCGGCGCTTCAGCACCGCCGACACCGGCGCACACCTGACACAGGCGCGCACCAGCGCCCCCAGAAGCTTAACCAGGCCTGAGTTAGAAAACTGAGCGCAAGACGGAAAAGCATTTCTCTCCAAAAGGTCTTTAACTGGCGCGGGTCTTGTCGGTTCCCGCCCCCACCGCGTCTTCTCGGTCTTTGGATTTCTAGAACTGGCAAATTTTCAAAAGGAAAAGCCCAAACCTTTTCAACTTTTTATTTCGCTAAATACAGAGCTCTATGAATTCATTCATCACATATATAGCACGTTGATTTATCAATGAAAAGCATTTTGAACACAGACCCCCCCCCCACGCCTCCTTCCTACCCCTCGCTCGGAGGGAAGACTGTTAG